TAATCAAATTATTACCGAAGCGGTGTCCATATTTATGCTTTATTTCATAAAATACTAGCTCGCCAGGCAGACGTTTTTCTGCCCTTTCCAACGACCCTTCCTATAAAAATCCTTAAATTCGTAATAAAAAATTTTGAGGGTCATTTATCGGGATAAAAACTATCCTATCTCTCAAGTCAGACCAAAATGCACACAGTGTGCAAAATTTCATTGAAATCAGTTCAGTAGTTTAGGAGTCCATCGCGGACAAACAACGTGACACGTAATTTTTATATATAAAGACTATACCGCGAAAGAAAACTATATAATAAACCTATGGTCTAAGATTCGGACTAACATCGAACTTCACCCTTATGTTTACCGCAAGAAAATCTTTTTTATCAAGTACTACCGCTCCGGCCCGGCTTCGCACGGGTGATTTCTGGATCTCGACAAAAGCGCCTACCGTGTCCAATTGTGAATCGTTTTGATCTTCCAGCAACCTTTCAGGGACTTCAAGGACCCACTCAAAAACAAACAAAAATTTCATCAAAATCGGTCCAACCATTTTCGAGTTTTTGCGCGACTAACGGACAGCAATTGATTTTTATATATAGATATTGTTTTCCAAAAAGTAAATGCTTTGAAGAAAATTAAATTTTTAATAAATTTTAAAATTCTGGAAGTATGAACACTATTCTTTGTTTAAAATTATCATCATATTATTTAAATTTTGTTACCCATGAACATAATGATGTATTTTTTGAGGCAATCCATCCGCAATATATTGGTTTACAATCTTTTTTTGTTTAGTGGTCCACCAACATTTTTATCAGTTCTTACATGCTATTTAAATACAATGAACCAATAAGAACTAAAATGTACAAATAATTACACGCGGATACCACATGCATATAACTGTCTCAGCACTGTGTACCTTTTTTTCTAGAATAAAAAAATTGATAACGATATACAGTACTAAAAATAATGCGGAAAAAAATTACTTTACATTATTTTACATAATATTACAAGAGCTCTAGTCTCTTAAAGTGCGACGGAGCTTGTTATGAGGGTCGAAAAATATATCAATTGCTTCGCTAAATTTGTTTTTTTTACAACTTTACTCATTCTAGCAATTGTAGAATTGAAGCCAAATACTGCTCTGCAATTATTTAACTGCCAAAATGAAGGACGAAATTGAAAGAAATATCTTTGTTCGACTAACAGATGTTCGTACCAATTCTTTACTCATGTGGTACGTAATTAGTTGACAATAAATATTTATGCAACACTGCAATATCAGCTGGTTACCCGTACAGAGCGACGAATAGCTTATCACTCAGCAACAACCCAAGACAAACATGCTGCAAAAAGAACGCAATGTTGTCACATCTGTTCTTTGAAAATATCCAACATTTCTAAACAGTGTTCCGATAGATAACGTTGAAATGTATGTTCTAGACAATTTTCAAAATTATATTTTTAATATCGATCTAAATAAGAAAGTAGGAGAAGTTGAAATATATAATACAACAGATCACGCAGACGCTACGAGTAAAAGATAAGTCATAATAACGCAAGTGATCTAATCACGAGTTATCACTTAGCAATCATCCACGACACTTGTAAAAATAAACGTACTTGATAGATAAAGATACAATGTTGCGATAACGCCAATGTTTAATGATTTAATTTAATGTGGTATTGATAAACTGATAACATTGAAAATTAGTGTTGTGACCATCGGATACTATGAGTATAATGAAGTTACTGCATAATTAAGCAATTTGTCAGCCGCAACGTAACTTTTTAAAAACCTTTTACTTTCCATTGATTTTATATAGGTTGAAGGTGGTACATTTTCTTTAAACATCGTTTGGTACAAGCACGATTATCATACAAATAAAATAAAATTAAACCTACATAATCGTAACGTTGATATAGACATTACGAACGACATACGGAGAAACGGAAATCGTAAAATAATTCGCCTTAAAACTTTTGAACAGTCTAGAAAGCGCAACACGTGAGTTCTCTAGACAGTTTATGCAATACACAGACAAGCTAAGCTGAATGGTAATCGCAGAGGATTGTTTGTGATCACAACATTGAAGTTTTGACTTCTACGCTACACTGCTCACTCTTTCTACACTGTCAAACAACTTCTCTCAAAACTGACGAGGTCCTAAACATCTATATCGTTGATTCCATTATTAAAACAGAAACAGAAAGTTTCCTATTCGGTATAGATTATAAATAATACTAAATGAAAATCACTCTTTTGTTAAATTACCACTGGTTCGGAATAAAACCTCTATCCTGGGAAGAACGAGCAAAAAACCGACAGGGACTTTAAAAAACATTCGTGAGTGTCGGTTGAAACGCAATTCCTTTCGTAGTATATTATAATTGACAAAAGTAATGTACTGATTAGCATCATCATCATCATTACAGCCCTTCACAAGTCCACTGCTGAACATAGGCCTCCCCCAAGGAATGCCACAAAACACGGTCCTGAGCCTCCTGCATCCATCGACTTCCTGCATGTCTTACCAGGTCGTCACTCCATCTCGTGGGGGGACGCCCTACACTTCGTCCGCCGGTACGAGGCGGCCACTCGAGCACCTTTTTTCCCCAACGGTTGTCGGTTATCTCGCAGAGAAACTCCGAGCATAGCCCTCTCCATAGTTCGCAGAGCGACCTTGAGCTTCCTCATCCGGCCAGCAGTGAAGGACCACGTCTCAGTACCATAGGTCATCACTGGCACACGCACTGGTTGTACAGTCTTGTTTTCAAGTTTTGAGGTATACCTGACGAGAAGATGTGCCGTAATTTTCCGAACGCTGCCCAGCCGAGTTGAATCCGTCGATTGACCTCTAGGTCGAAGTTGGACTTACCTAGTCGGACTATTTGTCCCAGGTAAACATACTCGTCAACAACTTCGAGCTTAGTGCTTCCAACAACTACCGGCATATGTGTGACATGGACATTAAACATGATCTTTGTTTTGTCCATGTTCATCTTAAGACCTATCCGTTGGGAAACACTATTGAGGTCATTGAGCATAGTGCTTAGATCCTCCAGCGATTCTGTCATAAGGACTATATCGTCGGCAAATCGAAGGTGAGTGATGTACTCGCCATTGATGTTGATACCATATCCTTTCCAGTCCAGAAGCTTGAAAACGTCTTCTAATGCAGCGGTGAAGAGTTTCGGGGATATCACGTCACCCTGTCTAACACCTCTCTGCAATTGGATAGGTTTCGTACTCTGGTTCTGTACTCGGATAGTCATCGTAGCTCTACTGTACAAACACTGTAGCACTTCGATGTACCGACAGTGAACTTGGCATCGCTGAAAAGGCTGTAGCCCTGCCCAATTTTCGACGGAATCAAAGGCTTTTTCATAGTCAACATTCGCAAGACATAGTGGCAAATTGTACTCCTCGGACCTCTGTACAATTTGCCGAAGGGTATGTATGTGGTCTATGGTGCTAAAGCCTTTTCGGAAACCGGCTAGTTCGGGAGGCTGGAAGTCGTCAAGTCTGCGCGCGAGACGATTCGTAATGATTCTCGAAAACAGCATGTAGACGCGGCTCAGAAGGGAAATTGGTATGTAGTTCTTCAAGACAGCGTTGTCACCTTTCTTAAAGAAAAAGACCACCGCACTTCTGCTCCACGCCTCCGGTGTAGTGCCACCATCGAGGACGGAATTAAAGAGCTTCTAAAGGACTTCAAGTACCGGTTTTCCACCCGCTTTCAGAAGCTCCGCTGTAATTCCATCCTTGCCTGAGGTCTTGCCATTTTTAAGGTGCTGGAGAGCAACTCTAATCTCGCTCAGACTAACGTCCGGGATATCATCGGAATAGTGTCGGATAAGACTCGCTCTTGGATCGTTACTCATACTTACGTGTGGCTTCAACGATGATGTGTACAGCTGCCCATAGAACCTCTCAATCTCACTCAAAATCTCAGGTGTCCCGGAAATGACACTGCCACACTCGGTCTTCAGCTTCGACAGTTGGCTCTTTCTGGTAGACAGATCTCTAGCAAAGACTTTGGAGCCCTGGTTCCGCTCGATCGCTTCTTTAATAAGAGCAGTATTAAAGTTGCGTAAGTCCCGCCGCATGCATTTGGAGATCTGTCTGTTCAGTTGCCTGTATGCTGTCAAAACTACTGAAGACTGCAGCTTCATGTCCCGTCTAACAGCCATGAGATTAAGAGTGTGATCGGAGAGTTTTTGTCTTCTTCTGCGGTGGGTCTTGCAGAACTTAGCTCCGACCGCATGGACAGTTTCCACGAGCTTGTCATTTATATCATCCACTGCATTGCAATCTTCTAGGCACTGAAAACGGTTTTGTAGCTCGAGCTGAAAGGTTTCGGGACTTTGGATTAGAGGACGAGGGGGACGGAGCGTTGACTTCATTAGACGAGACCTCTCCAACTTAACGTTTAGGTTCAGTGTGCCTCTAACCATTCGGTGATCGCTGCCGGTTTTCACCCTCGCGATCACTGATACATCACTGAACAGTTGTCGTCTGGTCGTCATAATGAAGTCAATCTCATTTTTTGTCGAACCGTCGGGGCTCGACCAGGTCCACTTCCTGTGGGGCCGCTTCTGGAAGAAAGAGTTCATCATAAAGAGTTCCTCTTTCTCCATGAAGTCGGCCAGCTGCTGGCCCCTTGGGTTCCGTTGCCCAATTCCAAATTGCCCCACTTTCAGCTCACCGTTCACTTTTGTGCCTAGTTTTGCATTGAAGTCTCCCATTAACACCGTATATTGGGTTTTGGAGGAATGCATGGCTCGAGATATATCCTCATACATTTCCTCCACCCCCTGATCAGGGTGTGCCGAGGTTGGTGCGTAAACCTGTATGACCTTCAGCGAATACCGTTTGGTGATTCTGAGTATAAGGTACGCAACCCTCGTCGACACACTCCCAATCTTTACAACGTTGTTAACGAGAGACTTGTGGACGATAAATCCGACACCTCCTTGGGACAGAGGGTCGCCCTCCCGGTGATAGAACAAATTGCCGGATTCGAAGATTACCGTGTCCTCCCCCTCTCTTCGGACTTCGGATAATCCTATGACATTCCAGCGCCACTTATCTATCTCTTCTTCCAGCTCCAGGATCTTCTCGTTAGTCCTCAGGGTGCGTGCGTTATAAGTTGCCAGTTCGAGTCGTCGTAGATGGCAACCGAACCTCCACCGGAGATTCTTAGCATCCCCTGCCCCGCCGTTACCATGGTCGCCACCGTAGCCAGGAATATCGGGGCCGCCGGGGACTGGGGGCCCTCTCTTCGTAACTTTCATCATGGGGGGTATATTGCCATAGTTGCCACGCTTGGCGAGCGGGTTGGCAACCGCAGTTTTTTATTGTTGTTTTGCTGTTATCAGAAAGATGCTGCTGCCCATCTTTTGTCTCAGGTTCCCTCTGTCACCTTTTACGACACCCACAGGAAGATATGTGGTAGTGAGTATTCTTACCCGCCACTACACGGGGGTACTGATTAGCATATACAAATTAATGAATTGCTAGCGTTTATTAAAATGAAGCGTCATTTAAAATAAAATATTTCTTTCATAGCAAGATAAGAAAAAGTACGAATGAGATGGATATTATTCCATCTTGCTTCTTTATAGCCGCCAAGGTCCACTACGTCAGAAGGGGTCATGACGGAAAAATCTTACACTTTTTGTCGTTCAGCCCCCAGCCACCAAATCCGTACCGTCCGATAAAGAACTTCGTTCCAAAAATAACAGCTTACAATCAAATATTATGTTACACAATTAACAACACAAAACAAATTAGAAATAGCTTGATAGCGAACACCTCATTCCCAGGGATAATTATCATCCGTAAATTCCTTAATATTTTTAACCCTTTGTTTAATAAAGTTTTTGAACTTTGATAAGGTCAAATTTTGTATGAAATATTGAAAAACTATTCTAGTAATATGGTCATATCACAAGCATTTATGTTTTAATTTAATATATTATGTTTAATATAACACTATTATCATTTAAACGTGGTCGAGCCTTGTAGAACGAATGTGTCAGCTCGACCATCGAAGGACCACGCTCTCACACAACACTAATGTGAAATAGCAGTATAATTCTGTTGAGTGTCTGTGCTTAATACTGCTGATATTCGTATGGTGAGTGTTGAGAAAAAAAAACCCTTTTTACTGAAAACGAAGCATTACATCGTAATCTTCACGGTTGACAAGGCATCTGATTCTTAATAATCATGTTGATTCTTAATCGAGGATAAATGGACATCTATAGGCTTCAGGGATATTCACTCATATTCTGTTAAAGAAAAAATAGGTAAATTATTTTTTACTATTTTCGACGCAACGTGTTCTTGAAACCGGTTCGGAAAAACTGCTTATAACGTCTCTAGTTTCCGTTTTTTACTGCCACCAGAGTTGCTATTAATACGGCAATTGCCGTAATATAAGGCAATCCACGATTTTTTTAGAAAATATGGCATAAGGCAGCCCTCTCATTGCCGTATCACAAAATACGACAATTAGCCATAAGGTGAAACTAAACGTTATTTAACTAGTGTAACGAATGAAAGGAAACAAATGTACCACATGAGTAAAGAAACGCAACAGTGACAAAGCTTCATAAAATTGCGCTAGGTATGAAGGGTATAATATTTTTCCAAGGATACACTACTACAAGCTTAAGCGGCGTGTGTGCGTGAGCACTGTCGGCTCGGAATCGGTAATTGATTACAGTTTATTATTTTAATGCGGTAGATAGATATCTCATACATACATACACTTCAAAAATGTATCGCATTTGTAAAATGTGCAATATCCTTGAGCAAAAATTTCGCGAATTATTTTCTTTCGAAATAAACATGTTTAGTATTGATAGTAAAATATTAAAACTATGCAAGATTTTATATGTCATGTGAATGATTTCTATTAGATTATTTAAAGAAAGTAATGTTTTTATTATATTTAACATTTACCATTCAATTAAAAAGGCACAACAAAGTAATGGAAAACATAAAATATGGAAATAAAATATTTTGAGTAAGTAGTTTGTAAAAAAAAGGAAGACAAATATACACTAGATTCATATGCATCTGAAGTGATAAAAACGATAAAAAACATTAACGGGTAAGAAAAAAATGAGGAATATACATTTTAAAAATAAATAATAAAAATACGGCTATTTAGTATTTTTTCCTTAAAATACGGAAAACCAAACTGTGACATATGGCAACTCAGATTTTTACGATAGCAGCACGCAGCGCCACTGTGGTCCATAGATAAATATATATGTAGTAAGCTGTGATCTGTGCAGGTCTGTGCCACACCAGTCACTTATGCACGTGCGTGTCGTCAAGGGTTCTGGACTATTTTTAAATATTTTTTAAATCGTGCGATTTTGTAACAAAGTAAACTTTATGAAATCATAATTCTTATGACAAAAATAATTTTATTTTTAAATATCATGAAGTGATGATACATTTTTGAATTAATGTAAGGGAAAATTAATAATACGTAAAAAAAGTAAAGCAGAGGTTTAAGTATTTTTCAGTTGTTTTTCCTATGTGATTAGTACCAAATTGTATAAAACAAAATAGAAAGTGATTGCCTCTATTAACTTGGCAAGTTAAAAATATTGTGATTTAATTTTTATTTTACAAAAGATCATTAAAAATGGATGCTGAAAACTCTGGAGCTAATCAAAAGGATGAAGTAGAAATAATTGAAACAATGAACAATTTTGGTAAATATCAAAAGGTCCAGTATTCTTACGCTTGTCTCGCGGCGTTTTTCATCTCAATGATTCACATCAACTATGTATTCGTTGCTGGGGACCTCAACTATCGGTATGTAGGAGAATAATTATAATAATATATTTGTTTTGCAGAACAGGGTCATAAAATCTATTCATGACTGAAATTGTAAAGATTTTCCCAGGGAAATGTTTAATCGTATCCATAAACATACATAATAATTACCCTTAGGAATAAGATATTCGTTACTAAAATATGATATACGATCTTATATATATATATATATATATATACGTCATCTATGTCAATATTTACACTAGAGCACTGTAAAATTTAGTATTTAAAAATCACCCTGAGCATTTTTAGAGAGAATATTGTATTTGAACCATATACATTACCACAAGTAATTAAAAAAGACTTATTACGTATGTAAGAATCTATGTTGAGAAAAGAATACTCTCTATTCTACCTTGTTCGACGGCTCCTTGGCGCAGTTGCTTAGCAATGAGTTGCCGCGCTGGGGCCGCGGGTTCGAATCCCACACGGAACAAGATATTTTGTATGACCTACAAATAATAGTTCCGGGTCTGGATGTTTGTCCTCGTGCTATTTATGTTTGTAAACTGCCTGCACGATACAGGAGAAAATCGTAGTGTGGGGGTAAAACTATTATAATCTAAAAAAATCCGATATAGACCTATATTATAGGATATTTTTATGAAATAGGTTTAACTTTACTTTCGACTAATTCTTTACTGGTATGATGGACTTAAAGTATCGCAGTAGTTTAGGACCGGGAAAAGATCCCTGATTTTATAGAATGCGGACAATAATTCTAGATTTAGTAGTAGAAAACGCGGCTGCTGACCATTTTTTTATAGAATAGGGTGACAAACAAGCACACAGTCCACCTGATGGTAAGTGGATGCTGTGGTCCATAAACATCTACATTTATCCTCAATTAAGAATCAAAATGCAGATGCGTTATCACCCTTGAGGACTAAGATGAATGCCACGTTTCCAGTAAAAAGGGTCTCCGGTTCTCTACACTCACCATACCAAACACAGTACAGCATTAACCTGCTATCTTACGCTAGTATTTTGTGAGAGCGTGAACCTACCACGGTCGAGCCGACTCATTTATGCTACAACTATAATGTAGCTGCAGTGTGGCTTTACCACCTGTAAAATTATTTAAAATATAAAACTTAATCAGTTCAAACATTGATAATATATATGTGCCACTTCACATATGGCCACAGCCATATGCCCAGCTAAACGTAGTGATTATATTCTCTTTGTGCCCAGCTAACGTCGGTTCAGTGTTCAATGCGACGCCGACCGAGTTGAGCCGAACGATTCACGACAAAAAAATGGGTAAATGCGTAGTGAAAGAATGCGATTCAAGGTCACAAAAACATAATTAATCAAGCGGAATCACTTTCCACACGTAAGTTTTAGTTTATGTTTTCATATTAACGTAAAAAACACAAAAAAATGAAATAAAATATCGTATATATTGCAATTTAGTTTCAATGTTGCCACTTTTCTGCCTTTGCAATTTTCCCACATTACACTACTACGACTATATAATTTGTGGAATAAGGTAACTTGTTAGCCCTGATTTTAAATAATTTAGAAATTGTATTAAAAACTATGTTTCAACCTTTATAAAAAAGAATTAATTATTCTTATTTTAGAATATTCTATAGATCCATAGATCTATTAATTATATTTTATTACCTAATTTATATTAATAATTTTGCAGGGTACCTCAAGATGCAGCACACCGTAAGAAGTGGGTAGAAATAATACGATTGCTGAGAAAGGAGACTCACTGGGTGCCTTCGAAATCTACTCTCATTAGTTCTAAGCACTTCCGGGATCAAGACAAACTAGGAACAAAAAGCGATGGCGACCGTGTTTATTTAAGCGGATTAGTACGACAGATTAACACCATTTAGTATTATCTTAAAAATTTATTAATAACCACAGTTTTTGTATCTAATGTCATGAGACCAAATTTAGGAGACAAAGACTTGCCGATGCTTTCACAATTGATGCATATTTCAAATTCAGATCTTCTTGGTTAAGAAACACAAAATAGATTTTTTATTTGATTTATTTTTTTGTTTGATTTATGAGTACAATAAAAGATACTTCGAAAAAAAATATCTTTCATTTCATTAGTTATACTTGTATTCATCGGATAAGCAAAGATACAAACATATTTAAAATAAAAAGAAATAACTACAGCTTAAAAAAAAACTCCTTTTTATTGCTTATTTTTGGGTAAAATTTCATATAGTAGGCAATACCAACCCGTCACTGCATGTTTGTGTGTCTATCTTTATCTAGCGACGGCATTGTTTTCGCGATTTGTTTAAGTGAGCCAGATATATGTTTACTTAAAATGGTTTAGTGGTTTCAAAGCTACGTCCTCGCGGTTAGATAGTGGCTTCACTTTTTTCGACGCGCTGTAATGTGGTAGTAAACCACATTACAGCGCGTCGAAAAAAGTGTCTCTAGTCTTGTATAACTCAATTAGTTCAAATGGTTAAAATCTGAATTTGCAGACGCAATTCACTTTCGGATTTTGTTTTACAAAAATTTTACAATTTGTTATTTATTTCATTGTTATTTATTGTTATTTTTATTGATAATTGAAGTTTATAAGGAATAATATTTCAACCTACTTTACCAACACCGAAACAATCAAAAATTATATAATTTTATAATATATAAAAATAATAATATTATGTATAATTTTTTTTACTGTTTCGGTCTTGTTCGAATCAAATCTAATTTATTCATTGTAATTAACTTTATAGTATGATCAGAAATAAATTAAATTAATTTTTACTTTCTGTCATATAAGATTGTATTCGTTGATGGCACGTGTTTTTAAATGTTGATTTATTAAATGCTCGAGGTCAAGCGACGTGATGCTCGATCCAGATCTTAGATCTTGATCTTAGATAACACAAAACATGCCGGAAGTTTGTAAACTTAAAAATTTCTTATTTAGGATATTTGATGTGTAGGTATAAAGAAATAGAATATATAGGAATATAAAAAAATACTGCGTTCTCTGCTCCAATACAAGTCTTGCGTTTTGATCATAAAACTAACCCTGTGTTATCTAGAATTATTTACGTTTAAGGCACGTAGGTATGTGTGCGTTAGCCTAGCATCTTGTGCGTCTTATCTTTTTGTACGGTATCTTTCTTTACTATCACTTGAAAATATTTACGTTATATTCTGTTGTAATATTTTTTTAATAGTCTGAGCTAGTTAAATGATTTTAGATGCCGTGTCCCTGAATGTGAAAATCAATATGCAGTTTATAACGCAACATGGTGGCCCCACAGCACTATTGACAGATGCACAAAACCAAAACTAAAAGAGGATTTTGTAGTTGGACAAATGTGCACCAACGAAAGTTTCACAGATGCGGTTGAAAAATGCACTGACTGGGTGTACGAAACCAACAACACCGTCATAGCTACGGTGAGTACAAGTAAAACTCGTAAAATAGTACCTCTCGATAGTGCGATATACAAACGTACGGCCACAGTTTAAAGACATTACAGTTGGGTCACGAATGTACTTGTTCAGAGCAAAGTAAGCCTTGCCTTTGCATTGCCGCGTAGGGAGTGGGCTGACCTTGTACTAGCGCACTTCACTGAGTCTGCTATACAATACATACGGTTGGAGCGAGCGTGTTATTTAGTATTAATTTAACAAAGAACAATTGCAGACTTTCATACATAAAATTAGTAGTAGATTGGTATATATGGTATTATACAATTGGTATATATTATTTTGTATTTGCTAGTATTCATATGTAGATATTTGTGTAGTTAATGGCGCTTTTTAATGTGTTATATTTATTTGTATTTATTACATTTAGTTATTTAAGTCGCCTGCAACTAAGTTCTCACCTATCATGGGTTAACCGGCAGAGAATGGTAACTGACATTAAGTCCACCCTTTGTAACCTTTATGGCCAGTTTATAGAAACAGCAAGCCAATTGAAAAATATAAACTTCACATAATTGTTTTTGCAGCTCAATCTCGCCTGTCAGCCGTGGAAGTCTAATTTAATTGGGACCATTCACAATGTGGGGACGCTGTTTGCAATGTTAATGTCAGGTTGGCTGACAGACAGGTAGGAACCTAAATATTTTTAATGTATTATCTGAAAGGTAAAATTGTTGATATTCATCTTCTTAATCAATGTGTGTATGAACTCGCGTTTGCGGAGTACCTTCTACGGGAGTACGAAGTACAAGATTGGTCAAAGACATAGAGCTGTACTACACATGTTGAACTGTCATATTATGCTAATAATAACTAAAGATTACTGAGTACGACGATAGACAGTCTTCAGTTCTTGAGACAGTTTTCCTTCAGTAACATTTAAATTGGTTACAACATTGTCTCATACTAGATAATGCCAATACTTGACATCTGTCACACCTAAAGTAAGTGGTAATTTAGCCACAGACGGTAATGCGTTAGCTTAATTTGAATCTAAAACTGTCTTGAAGGCACTTAAGGGACAGACGTTGCAATTATTTTGTAGGGACAGTAGTTACATACATTTTGCTGATTTGACATTTTACACTTGTGTCCGGAGTGCGCTCGATGGCGAACGCTAGTCGTTCCCCGTCACATCCCGTGCTAGGCCGCTACCAAGAAGGAAATATATTGTATCTCCCGTAAAATATAGCTTAACCTGTAAATTGTAATTTCTGAATACAACATCAGTGAATTTTAATTACTGAACCCGATAGGCACCTGAGGCACCTTCTGTGAGTCATATTGCGAGGTTATCAGGCATCAACTATAGTATATAGGTACAGTACAGTTACATACTATATAAGTATATACGGTATATAATAGTACTGTAGTACATTATTAGCCAACAACATCGTACATTCCCACACATATCTCGCACAATTTCATTTCTTTTTTGTATGCATTACTAATAACAAATCAAACCTTTTATTTTAAATGCGGGATATGTGGACAGCAAAGAGGTAGAGCCGAGCACCGAATGCGCCGCACATCTGACTTTCTGATAATACTTGTATATGGAAGAAGAAGTAAAAAAGTCATAACTGGCGCGCAGATTTTTGATAATATTTGGAGCTGGCTACGCCTGTGACCGAAACTGAAAGTATTAGTTTTTGCCTGATGCTGTATTGCACAGAAAAAACCATCGATTTCCCCGAAGAGGTCGCCAAAATTTAGCATGTAGAGGAAGGCAACTGTGTCTACGAAAGGCTCATTAAGAGCCTTGTAGAACCTCCATACGGTTTCCCGGTTGGAAATGCATTGTAGTGCTGTGTCTTTCCATTGCTTGTTGGCTAAGGATAGAGGAATTAGCCCTTTATCACACAAAATGACGTCCTTGTGGAATGGATAATCTGATCTCACCAGGTAGTGATTAGGGAAGCTGCACACTTCGCGATTATGCATGGTGAGAGTGCTTAAAAAGCTGCGCCAACCATGTTTCCGCGGCAAATACAGCCACATTATTGACGACCTCGGATGATGCATTCTGTGGGGCGTCTAAACAGTGCAGACTTTTCTATCCAGAGCCACCTGAGTACGCCAAAGTCATACATGAGAACAGTGACCCAACCGTTTTGCGTGCGTCTTATTAACCGCTCAGGCGTCGACATTTTATTGGATCAACTTAGTCAGACCTACGGTCAAGCCAAAGAGTAGTGTAGGTCAGGTCAAAGACATTTTTTTAAATGATAACGAAATATAACTTAGAATCGTTACTATGTTCTTATCTCAAAATAAAAAAAATATCATCAATTATAATATCGAATTATTTGTATGAAGGTCAAGTGAGCAACGACGATTGCAAGACGTTGTCGATAAAAAATGTTTTGGGAAATTATCAATTACCGTATAGTGGCGGTGTATGAATATCCATACCATCCCGTGGGTCTCGTAAGAGGCGACTAAACTTGGGAAAAAGTGTTATTTCTAAATAACCGTGAATTATAAAGTTTATTATGGATCGTAGGACGACGAAAAAATATCGACAACAGCACATAAATGGTTTTGTAGTTGTTTTTGTTGCTTAATGTTTAGTCGATTAATAAAACATTTTAACATATATCGAAATTGATACGAATTCGACACTCTAAAATAAATATCGATATATCACGACAAAAACATTTCTTCCCCTCCGTCGCTGATATCCGATATTCATCGACTGAGTCGTGCCATAATTCGTCAAATTCCTCCATTTTTCTGAAAATTAATGTAGACACACGTGAACTTTTTGTTTCTTAATGGGGCTCAAAAAGAGTTTATGGAAAAAAATCATAAATTTACATATAAAAAATTATAAAATACCAAATTACTACACTCAAATACTCATAGGACATAGAAACACTCGAAATTTCATAAAGAAAAGAAATATGGTATGATATGATAATAACGATATCGAAATATATATCTACTAAATAAAAAATCTGTCATGAGTATATACTTTATTATGTTTCTTTTACCAACACCATTTTTGTTGAAAACACCTTCGCCGTGATATTCACGATATATCTGAATTAAAACATAAAACGTAAATTTCACACATTGGATTTTGTATAATATGAAAAGAAGGATGCCCATTTTCACCTGACTATGTATAGAAATGAAATAAATCTTAAAATTCAGCTAATTGAATTCTAAATTTAATACGCGTATCACAATGTTAAAAGGAGGAGTAGGTAGGAGAAATATATTTTTAATATTTATTTATGCTTATTCTACGTCAAAGGTAAACTTATTACCACCATATTTTGTCGTATCTCAACTACCCTTTTTCTAGGACGTTCCATTTAACATACTGCTACTTGATTTAATTGAACTCTGTTTCAGAGATTTAAACATTTTTATAGATTTAAAACTGTTATATATATATATATATATATATATATATATATATATATATATATATATATATATATATATATATATATATATATATATAACATAATTTCTTTATTACTCTTTGTATAGTACAGATTAATTAAAAATAATATAATAATTAAATAAATTAATCATGCAGTATGCCCTTGAGTGCACATATAAATAAAGATAAGTGAAGAATATGTATTATTTACCTTTATTTGGGA